AACTATGCATTATCCCCTTGTGATGTTTGAACGACAGCCTCCTGGTCTAGTTCCTCATGAGAAGAGTTAAATGTTCTTGAATTCCCATTCTTCTCAATGTTACACATAATTTGTTATAATCCACACAGTTGAATACTTTTTTTCACAGTCAATAAAACACAAGTAAACATCTTTCTGGTATTCTTTGCTTTCAGCCAAGATCTGTCTGACATCAGCAACAATATCCCTTGTTCCTTGTCCTCTCCTGAATCCAGCTAGCATTTATAAAAGTTAACCTGTCAATATATTCCTGTAACCGTTTTTGAATTATCTTCAGCAAGATTTATTTTACTTACTTGTGATGTTAATGATATTGTTTGATAATTTTGACATTCTGTAGGATCACCTTTCTTTGGAATGGGTATAAATACAGATCTCTTCCAGTCAGTTTGCCAGGTAGCTTATCTTCCAGAATTCATGGCATAGATGAGTAAATGCCCCCAGCGCGGCATCCCTTTGTTGAAATATCTCAATGGGAATTCTCTCTGTTCCTGGAACCTTGTTTTTCACCATTTCCTTAATTGCAGCCTTGATTTCTTCCTTCAGTACTGTCGGTTCTTGATCATATGCAACCTCCTGAAATGGATGAACATCAACTACTTGTTTTTTGTAAAGTGACTCTGTGTATTCCTTCCATCTTCTTTTGAAGTTTCCTGCATCATTGAATATTTTGCCTATAGAATCTTTCAGTATTGCAAATAGAGGCTTGAGTTTTTTTGTCAGTTATTTCAGCTTCAGAAATGCTGAGTGTGTTCTTCTCTTTTGGTTTTCTAACTCCAGGTCTTTGCACATTTCATTATAATAATTGATTTTGTCTTCTCAAGCTGCTCTATGAAATCTTCTGTTCAGTTCTTTTGTCATTTCTTCCATTTGCTTTAGCTATTCTCTGCTCAAGAGCAAGTTTCAAAGTCTCTTCTGACATCCATTTTAGTCTTTTCTTCCTTTCCTGTCTTTTTAATGACCTTTTGCTTTCTTTATTATGATGTCTTTGATGTCATCCCACAATTCTTCTGGTTTTTAGTCATTGGTGTTCAATGCATCAAATTTATTCTTTAGATGGTCTTTTAATTCAGGAGGTATATAATTGTGGTCATATTTGGCTCTCATGGACTTGTTTTAATTTTCTTCAGCTTCAGTTTGAACTTGCATATGGGTAATCAATGGTCTCTTCCACAGTCAGCTCCTAGCCTTGTTTTGGCTGACAATAATTGAACTGCTCTATCGCCTGTTTCCACAGTTGTAGTTGATCTGATTCCTTCCTATTCCATCTAGGGAGGTCGTGTTATATAGTCACCATTTATGTTGAAAAGGTATTTGCAATGTGTACGTTGCTGGTCTTGCAAAATTCTTTCATGCAATCTCCAGTGTCATTTCTGTCACCAAGACTGTATTTTCTAACTAATGGTGATTCTTGTTTGTTTCTATCTTGTGCTTTCTAATCACCAGTAATAATCAACATATCTTGATTATATGTTTGGTCAATTTCAGACTGCAGAAGTTGGTAAAAATCTTTAATTACCTTATCTTTGGTTTTGTGGTTAGCACATAAATTTGAATAATATCAGTTATAACTGGTCTTCCTTGTAGGAGTGTGGATATTATGCTATCACTGACAGTATTGTACTTCAGGGTAGATCTTGAAACATATTTTGTGACCATGCCATTCCTCTTCAATTTGTCATTCCTGGCATAGTAGATCTTATGGTTGTCTGATTCAGAATGGCCAAAACCAGCTCACTGATGCCTAGGGATATCAGTCTTTAGTTCCATTTCATTTTTGACAACTTCCAATTTTCCTAAATTCACACTTCATACATTCCATGTTCCATTATTAATGGATGTTTTCAGCTGTTTCTTCCCATTTGGAGTTGTACCACATCAGCAAATGAGGATCCTGAAAGCTTTTCTCCATCCTCATCATTAAGGTCGACCTTGCTTTGAGGAGGCAGCTCTTCCCCAGACGTATTTTGAGTGCCTTTTCATCTGAAGGGCTTATCTTCCAGCACTATATCAGACTTTATTTCTGGGCTGTTCATGAAGTTTCCAGTGCTTTATTGGACTGTGTTTCACTACTGCTCATAAAGTTTCACTGGCCAACTCTTGGAGAAGTGGATGGCCTCTTCCTTCTTCCAAGTCTGTTTTAGTCTGGAAGCTCCACTGAAACTTGCCCACCATGCTTGTATTTGAAATAGCAGTGGCAAAGCCTTTACCCTAATAGTAACACACAAGCCACCACAGTATGACAAACTGACAGATGAGTAGTGTTATAAGTATGTTGTATTTGTGTAGTATATTTACTCTGATAACGTTAAAATGTAAATTATTTAACAGGGATCTTTTTTTTTTTTTGTCAGCAAACAGAAAATTATCTGCTTTTGGTGCCTAGTTTTTATTTTGACACATTGACTGCAACAGTGGCTCAAGTGTAGCAAAGATTGTGATGATGGCACAAGATCGGGTAGTGTTTTATTTTCTTATACATAGACTCATTGTGTATCAGAAACAACTCGATGGCACCTGACAACAATAGCAAATGTGTGCAAGCTATTCATAAATACCTCTGGTGGCATAGTGGTTAAAAACATTTGACTGCTAACCAGTAGGTCAGCAGTTCAAACCCCCAGCTTCTCCTTGGGACAAAGATGAAACAGTCTGCTTCTGTAAAGATTTACAACCTATGAAACCCTCTGGCAGTTCTACTCTGTCCTATGTGAAGTGGAATAGACTAGAAGGCAGTGTGTGGGTGGGTGAATTCATATGAGAGGGATTACCAGGGCATAACTTTTTCCACTGTGTTCAAAGTTTGCTATTTTGTAATTCAAATTTATTTTAATTAAATCTGGTGAACACTGCTGTCAGTGGTTCTCAGTGTATTGTCTGTAGACTCCTGATTATGCATATATCATTTTAAGATGTTCAGGAGGTCAAAACTCTTTTCATCATAATCTAAGATATTATTTGTTTTTTATTTCCTATTTTGATGTTGGCACTGTTCATTCCTTAAGAAGAATCAAGGCCAAATTGTACTAATAACATTTTACTCTTTACTACTATGTACTCATAGTTAAATAAAAAGCCAGTTTCACTTTAAGATTGTCATTAATGAAGCAGTAAACTTGATCAATTTAATGCAAACTCTACTTTTGAGGTTTTTTTTTTTTTTTTTTAATATTACTCTCTCTGAGGAAGTTGGAAATACCCACAAAGTACTTCTGCTGAGTACTAAATTGTGATATTTGTCTGGAGGAAAAGCATTTTCATAATTGTTTGAGATGTGTGGTGAACTAGCCACTTTTTTTCTCACCCATGAAATGCCATTTTTTACTGGAAAGTGTGATTGACAGGTAAACTAAACTTGTATTTAGGAAACATCCTCGTAAATAATTGAAGTGAGAGCCTTTTACTTTTAAGGAAAACAGTTGTTCTGAGAGCACAACTTTTGAGTACTGCTAATGTAGGTCATCAACCAAGGTTAAAGGTTTCCTAGTTTAAGCACTACCCTTGCGCTCTTCTCCCTAAATTAAAGTTGGAAACAGTACACATTGTTTCAGTAACCAAAATTAGATTGCATATAATAATATTCTTAAATATTTCTGAAAATATGAAACATTAGGTTTCTCTTTTAAACAATGGGCTTGGATATTTCATTGAATTTGTTTAGGGTTTTATTGTGTGTGTCATTGGTAATTATGCTAAAAATTTTTTTGTCTCCTTTTTCCTCTGTTTTCTCTCTCGTCTTCTCCTCTCTTCTTTTCTCCTTTTATTTTTCCTTTCCTTTCTTTTTTGTATTTGTTTTCTAGGTGGAGTCTTTCATTTTGGATCAAGATGATTTGGAAAATCCAATGCTGGAAACTGCTTCCAAGCTGCTCTTGTCAGGAACTGCTGATGGTGCAGACCTCAGAACAGTAGATCCAGAAACACAGGCTCGACTGGAAGCTTTACTAGAAGCTGCAGGTATGTCTCCACACTCCACATAGATAATATGTCTTCATTATTATTCAAAGTTGCACATAAATCTAGTGAAAACTCTTTATTATAAGTACATGATCTTGGATATTTAATATGAGCCTAATTCACAAATTGTTCATGGTTTAAGAACTCTAATGCTTGTGAACTGCTACTTTATTATAACATAAAATTGACCTACTACTGTTTGGGAATGTTCAAATAAACATAACACAGCATCTAAATATTTGAAAGACTGATGGTTATTTTTTCTAGGTAAAATTCTAGATTAGATTATTAAGTGGGTGACCAAATAAGATGCAAATATGGGCATATGCAAAGTCCTATCTTGGAATATGTAAAACTATTTGCAGAGAACAGTGGTCATGATACAGCATTCATAAGAAGTTTGATGTGGCCATAGAAATTTAGAAGATAATAATAGGGTAATAAAATTATTTGAGAACATGTCATAAGGAGGGATAGGGGGTATACCTTCTGAAGAAAAGATTTTGTTTGAATATGTTACCTTTTAAATACTAAAAGACTATTCCATAGAAGAGTGTTGTTTGTGTTCTGTGATTGCAAGAAGCAGAACCAGGTTCAAAGATATTACTGTAGGTACATGTTAGGCAAAAGGCACATAGTGTACTTGAGGAGGTTGAGTTCCTTTTCATAGAATGCTAATAATTGCTCCATTTTTCTTGTTTCTGTGTTGATAACCAACTTTTTCTGTTGTCTCTACAAAGCTAACAAACTAACTAGTCTTCCCCACTCTTCCTGCCTTATTTCTTTTCTCTCTTATTTTCTTCCTTTTAATTATGAAACTGTTCACATACAAACCTAAAGAAAATACAGTAATAAACTTTGGTTAGCAATCACCCAGCTTCATTCAGCATTTGGCCAATCTTATTTCATCTCTACCTACTACTCTGCTAACTGCCAAACCAAACCAAACCCAGACCCACTTCCATCAAGTTGATGATGACTCACAGCGGCCCCCATTAGGTTTATAAAGCTATACATCTTTATGGAAGTAGCTTGCTTTATCTTCCTCCCATAGAGAGGGTAGTGGGTTTGAACCACTAACCTTCTCGTTAGTAGCCAAATGTCTTACCCACTGTGTCACCAGAGCTCCAGTGGAAAAGCTAACTAAACAAAACTCTCACTGCCATCAATTCCAAGTCTTGGCAACCCTTTTTGGGTTTCTGAGGTGGTAAATCTTTAAGGAAGTAGATTGTCCAGTGTTCCTTCCATGGAGTGGCTTGTGGATTTGAACTGCTAGCCTTCTGGTTAGCAGTCAAAATGCCTTATGGACTACCCCACCAGAGCTCCTTGAGCTAACTACTGCTCCCTCATTAATTTAAATAAGTACCATATTATTTCACGTATAAGTAATTTGATGGGTATTAAAGAAAAAAACTACAGTAATTCCTTGATATTGCCACAAACGCTGTCAATATTAGGATTGTTATAATTGTTTCATAATGTCTTTTTTAAAAAAAATAATTTATTTTCATTGTTGTTCATAATGTCTTTTTATAGTTGGTGTGTTTGAACTACAACCTAAACAGGGTTCACACGTTATTTTCAATTAATTATCTTTCTAACATTTCTTACTCCTTTTTTTTTCTTTTTCTGTATTTGTTGAAGAAACAGTCATTTGTCTCTTAGAATTTCTTACACTATACATTTTGCTAGTTTCACATCTAAACATCCTGTAATTTGACTTCTAGCAAAAATCATGAAAATAATAGTTGAAAACAGAGGAATGAATAAACTCAGTCTAGATTGCAAAACAGATTCAAAGAAGAGTCAAGGTCTGAATGCCATGGGTAAGATTGTCAAAGGAATAGCTAAAAGTTATGATACAAGTAAAATTTTAAAAATTACTATTCATCATAAAAAATTGTTAGATGAGGTAGAAAGAGTACTGTATCTGTCTCAACCTACTTTAGACTCTCAGTTCACAAAATACTGTATTTGTTAATTCCCCTAGAACATGGTTAGTTCCAGATTAGCCACCACTGGTTTGGCAGACGCTTAGTGAGTAACTGTTGTGTATATGCATTCTGTGTAGTTGTTAGGTGCAGTGGAGTTGGCTGCAACTCAGCGACCCTATGTACAACAGAATGAAACATTGTATCCTGTGCCATTCTCACAGTCCTTGCTATACCTGAGCCCATCCTTGCAGCTGCTGTCATTCCATCTTGTTGAGGGCCTTCCTCCTTTTTACTGACCCTCCACTTTACCAAACACGATATTTCCTTCTCTAGGGAATGGTCCCTTCTGATAACATGAACAGAGTAGGTGAGATGGAGTCTGGCCATTCTCACTTCCAAGGAGCATTCTAACTTCACTTCTTCCAGGACAGATTTGTTAGTTTTTCTGGCAGTCCATGGTACTTTTAGTGTTCTTTGCCAGCACTTTGGCTCAAAAGCATCAACTCATCTTTGATCTTCCTTATTCATTGTCCAGGTTTCACATGCAAATGGGGCGATTGAAAATACTGTGGTTTGGGTTAGATGCACCTCAAAGAGACATCTTTGCTCTTCATCAATTTAAAAAGGTTTTTTTTTGCAGCAGATTTGCCCAGTGCAATATATGTGCCATCTGATTTCTTGACTGCTGCTTCCATTGGTGTTGATTGTGAAACAAAGTAAAATGAAATCTTTGACAACTTTAATTTTTCTTCATTTATCATGATGCTGCTTATTGCATGCTCACAGCATTTTCATTTTCTTTGTGTTAAGGTGTAATCCATACTGCAGACTGTGGCCTGTAATCTTCATCAATAAAGTGCTTCAAGTCATCTTCACTTTCAGCAAGCAAAGTTGTGTTGTCTACATTTGCAGGTTGTTAATGAGTCTTCCTTCAGTCCTAATGCAGCGTTCTTTTTCATATAGTCTAGCTTCTTGCATTATTTGCTCAGGATACAGATTAAATAAGTATGGTGAAAAGACACAGCCTTGACGCACTCCCTTCTTAATTTTGAACCATGCAGTATCCCCTCGTTCTTTTCAAATAACATCTACCTGATATATGTACAGGTTCCTCATGAGTATAATCAAGTGTTCTGGAATTCCCATTCTACACAGTTGCCAAAAGGGCAAGGAGGCCACATCTCCTGACCTCTTCTAACCCCACAAGAGGAAGAGAGAATCACCATCAATAGCCCAAGGCCCATTACTCTGAGGCCAGACATGCTGCCTCCCTTCAGCCCTTTCACCAGCTGTCCTCCCAAAACACCTACCACCTCCCTCCTGGGCTTGATAATTTGCTGCAGTGGCCACACAGAACTCATAGATTACGGGGTTTATTAGGGAAGCACCAGGCTACAATTCAAGTTCAGAAAAAATGCTCAGTCTTGCTCCCAGCCCACAGACTCTCTCTTAACAGTCTCTCTTCCAACAGTGAGTGTCCCTCGGTGTCTCACTAAGCAATGCGTGTCTCTTGTGTCTATTTACCAGCAGCGCTTGTCTCTTTCAGCAGCACATCTTCCTCAACCAGCAGTCAGAGAGAGACTTCTGCCTCTAGGAGGCCTCCTTTTGAGCCTGGTAGAGTGGCCAAACTAACCCGTCATAACATCAGAATTCTAAGCACCTGAGAGAGAGCAGGAGCCTCCCAGAACATTGCTTTGTGTTGTACCCAACAGAAATACACCAGGTGGATAACTTTTACAATCCGGAGCTCCTCAGTTGCTCACAGAAAATTCCACCAGAGAGTTTACAAAGACTTATGGCTAGAAAAGCCACACTAAGTAATTTATTACACTGCAACAATGTTACCCATAATTTGTTATGATCCACAAAATCAAATGCTTTTGCATAGTCGATAAAACATAAATAAATATCTTTCTGGTATTCTTTGCTTTCAGCTATGATCCATCTGACATTATCAATGATATCCCTCATTCTACGTCCTCTTCTGAATCCGGCTTGCATTTCCAGAAGCTCTGTGTTAATATACTGTTGCACCCGTTTTTGAATTATATCTTCAGTAACATTTTAGTTGCATGTGATTTTAATGATATTATTCGATAATTTCCACATTCTGTGGGATCAGCTTTCTTTGGAATGGGTACAAATACAGAGCTCTTCCAGTCATTTGGATAGGTAGCTATGTTCCAGAATTCTTGGCATAAGTGAGTGAGTGCCTCCAGCATAGTATCCGTTTTTTGAAACATCTCAGTGGGTATTCCATCAATTCCTAGAGCCTTGTTTTTTGCCACTTCTTTTCAGTGTAGCTTTGAATTCTCCCTTCATTACCATCGGTTCTTGATCATATGCTACCTCCTGAAGTGGATAAACATCGACCAATTGCTTTTTGTAAAGGAACTCTGTGTGTTCCTTCCATCTTTTGATGTTTCCTGCATCATTGAATATTTTGCCTATAGAATCTTTCAGTATTGCAAATGGAGGCTTACATTTTTTCATCAATCCTTTTAGCTTGAGAAATACTGAGTGTGTTCTTTCCTCTTCATTTTCTAACTCCAGGTCTTTGTACATTTTATTATAGTAAGTGACTTTGTCTTCTCTAGCTGCTCTTTGAAATCTTCTGTTCAGTTTTTATCTTGTCATTTCTTCCATTTGCTTTAGCTACTCTCTGTTCAATGGCAAGTTTCACAGTCTCTTCTGACATCCATTTAGGTCTTCTTTTCCTGTCTTTCTAATGACCTTTTGCTTTCCTCATGAACAATGTTGTTGATGTCATCCCACAGTTCTTCTGCTTTTTGGTCATTGTTGTTTATTGCATCAAATTTAGATGGTCTCTAAATTCATGACGGATATAATTAAGGTCATATATTGGCTCTTGTGGACTTATTTTAATTGTCTTCAGCTTCTGCTTGAACTTGCATATGAGCAGTTGATAGTCTGTTCCACAGTCAGCTCCTGGCCTTGTTTTGGCTAAAGATATTGCGGTGCTCCATTGCATCTTGCCACAGGTATAGTCGATCTAATTCCTGTGAACTCCATTTGGAGAAGTCCATGTTTATAACTGCTGTTCTT